TTTGAAATGTCAAGGTAACTTGTAACTTCCCTTTTTCTGGACTCCTCAGGACACAACCAAGGGACTGCCTGAAGACAGATACCACAAATTCCTTCATTATTGTTATGTTAATTGTTTACTTAAATGTCCTGTATACACCTAAGTAAAAAAAGTATGTGTCTATCATTTTATTTTATTCAATCCCAGAAGTTTCCCCTGCTTTGATTTCTTCTGCCTCTCTAATTTATCTCCAATAGATTTCATGTAACCAACCCACTTCTGCCTCCTCCTTTGATTGTAATGTATAAAAATAGGTGAAAAACTACCATTCTTTGTAGCATTATACTAATTTGTTGAGATTCTGCTTTTAGCAATTGTTGAGTTTGGCTCAAGTAAACTCACAAAAATTCTTTACAGGTTTGAATGTTTCAACAACTAGAGGCCCAGTGCATGAAATTCGTACACGGGTAGGGTCCCTAGCGGCTGCCAGCCAGATACTCCCTCCCTTGCCCTGGCTGCCTACTGTCGAATTCCCAGACAACTCCTGGTCAAGGGGACAATTTGCATACTATGCTTTTATTATATAGGACTAGAGGTCCAGTGCAAGAAATTCGTGCACTTGGGGTGAGGGGGTGCAGGGTCCCTCAGCTCGGCCTGTTCCCTCTCACAGTCCGGGAGCCCTTGGGAGATATTTGACTGTTGCAGAGGAGGGAGAGGCTCCCGCCACTGCTCGTGAGCCTGTGAGGAGCGGGTCTAAGCTGCAGTCTGGCCTCCCTCTGCAGGAGGCCACTGGCGGCCGTGAGACCCGAGTCCTGGGCCTCAAAGCTGCTGTGGCTTTGTCCGGATGGATGTCTGGAAATTGCCCACCCTAATTAGCATATTACCCTTTTATTAGTATAGATAATTACATTTCAGCTAGTGCATTTAAAGTCTCATCTCAGCTGGGTTGTTATTTTTTGTCAAGTTATTGAAAGCACACAATGGCAGGGGTTAGAAGATTGAAGGATTAAATCTATATACTACATATTCTTTCTTGTCATTTTCATTGATATAATAAGATCTGCACGGCATTAGAATATCAACTTTTCTTCTTTAATTCACCTGTTCCCCCTTAATGGGTTTAAATAATGGCAACCAAAAAAATTAAGTGACTATGGATCTGAGCTTAAAAAAACGTTGTGTGCTCCATTTCCCTCTAAATATCATCACAGCACCAACCTTTAGAATTTTTAAGAATTTTGTATGAGTATCAGTCTATTAGATATTTCAGAATGCTTTATTATATAGCTTAAATTTTTTTACAGTGTCATCTATTTAAAATAGAACTCCACACAATGAAGACTGCTTTCTTCACTTTCTTTCTACATTGTTTGAATATTTTATAAGACAAAATGTATTACTTTTGTAATAAAAAAGACGTTTGCAATGGTTCAAAATGGCTAATAAGTGTTTTGTCAGTCTGACCAGCATGGCTCAGTGGTTGAGCATCAGCCTGTGAACTGGGAAGTCATGATTTCCATTCCTGGTCAGGGCATAAGCCTGGGTTGTGGACTCAATCCCCAGTGGGGTGCATGCAGGAGACAGAACAAAATTCTCCTGCCTTTCCCTTTATAGCCCTAAGCCAGGACTAGGTCAACTAGGTTTCCGAAGACCCAAACCAGGTCCTAAAAGTCCCTATACTGCTCCAGTCAAAGCTCACTCAACATTTGTTCCACAAATGAATCGCTCTCATAGTTATTCTTATCTCTCAATTCTTTCTTTCACTGATTTTTGTTCCTGCTCGTCCCCCATAAGTTTATCTACTGGCAACTTGAAGTTACTTATTTCCCTCAGTTCATTCTAATAAAAAAATTAAACAAGGACAAACCTTTGAGCAGCCAAAATAGGTCTCAAAGACCAAAATATGCGTATTTAATGTGGGTCTCCCTACAATTCTCACTATAATTAACTTCCATTATTATTTTAGACTAGAAGCTCAGTGCACTAATTCATGCACGAGTGAGGTCCAGCCGGCCGTGGGGAGGGGCTGCAGGGGGGGCCCAGTAGCATGGGGGGGGGGGCCATGGATGGTTGGCCAGCTGGCCCTGCCCCTCATTGGATTAGGGGGCTGATGGGGGTGGAGCTGGCTGGGGAGGGGCTGCGGACCAATCAGAGGTGGGGCTGATGGGGAGGGGGGGTGCAGGGGGAGGGGAGAAGGGCTGCAGGACTTCCCATCCTCAATCAGGATGGGAGTGGATGATCAGGGGCAGGGCTGCTGACAGTTGGGGCCAAGGACACACCTCTGGATCGGGCCAGTTCAATGGCAGCAGTGGGTGTCATAGCAACCAGTCATTCCAGGGATTATAGCATTCTGGTTGATGGAGATATACACACACACTAGAGGCCCGGTGCACAAAATCCCTCAGCCCAGCCTGCACCTTCTCCAATCTGGGATCCCTCTCCCGATCAAGGAGTGCTGGCTCCCAACTACTCACCTGCCTGCCTTCCCGGTTGCCTCTAACCACTTCTGCCTGCCAGCCTGATCACCTCCTAACCACTCCCATGCCAGCCTGATTGATGTCTAACTGCTCCCCTGCCAGCCTGTTTGTCCCCAACTTCCCTCCCCTGCAGGGTTGATCACCCCAACTGCCCTCCATTGCAGGCCTGATCCCTCCCAAATGCCCTCCTCTGCTGGCCATATTGTGGTGGCCATCTTGTGTCCACACAGGGGCAGGATCTTTGACCACATGGGGGCAGCCATCTTGTGTGTTGGAGTGATGGTCAATCTGCATATTACTCTTTCATTAGATAGGGGGGAAAATATGTATATATACATCTATCTCTGATATCCTTGATTACCTAGTTTTCTCAACAGATTAGAAACAGGATACTTATTAGTCTCTCTATACCAGAGGTGGGGGCCGTATAAGGCCAGATCAATAATTTGGTTATGGCCCTGACAAGGCATTAGGGGTGAGTTAATTAAATGTTTAAACAAATATAGCAAGCTCATTTTTAAGTTGACAATTTTGGATAGCCTGTGAATGTTGTTATAAACATCTAAATGGCCCTTGGCAGAAAAAAGGTTCCTTATCCTTGATCTATACTCACATGGTCTTCACTACTTTTCTTATTTTAATTCTACATTCAAATTGTTTTGAAAATATTAACTAAAAACCACTCTAACGATAAAATAGTTCTATTTTTTTTAAATATTTAAAGTCATTAAATGAAAATCTACAATTCACTTTAATTAAAATGTCCCATATAGCAGGTTAAATGTTTTCATTTCTTGCCCCAGAGTGTTAAGTTTTTACATTTCTACAAGTAGAACAAAAAAAGGTAGAGAAGCCACTTTGTAACAATGAGCTTTCCGAAAACATAATATTCTAGTTTATAATTCATATAAATACACTGCCTTGAACCAAAATCAGACATTTAATAAAGTTTTATCTGAAAACATTAAAAAGACAGCTGCATTTTAACTTTTACCCTGTAACTTATTAGACACTAAGCAGTAAAGGAATATTCAAGAATCTGATTTCTATTAGTAGTATCAAATCCCAGGGTATTGTCAATTACTTCTGAGGACACTGAAGTTTCTCATCTATAACTGATATCTTTTGCACCTTTGAAAGTTTAATCACAGCATACTTCTGCACATATCTTGAAATAAAATCATTTTGTAAAACAATTCCAAAAAGGTCGGAAACTATGCCTCTTAAATAATATTTCTTAAATAATTAAAGATGTAGAAAACTTTACATTAAATGAGACAGATAAACATACACTACTCTAATCTCACTCAAAGGTAGCCACCGATTAAAAATCAATTCCATTTAGTGACGACCAACTTAAATACTACTCAATTTTCACATCTCTGCAAAGCAGGTACGTAACATTTACTATTTTTAAAATATAGATGGACAGAAAGTTGCTGGTTTAAATTTAGCATTATGACAACCTCAACTGGTGTAGATAATGGCAATTCCAAAACATAAGCAGCAAATATAAGATTGTGGCATTATTAGATTCTTGGTGTAAAGTTGTTCTGCAGTCACACATACAAGTCCGCATGATAATTTGCCATGTGGACTTCTGAAGTGTTCAAAGGTTTAACTGCAGAAGAGAGTCAAAGTTTTTGGGTTTTTTTTCTCTCCCATAAAGTGCTATGATTGGGGCTGAGGGGGAGGCAGGGTTCTACCATTCCGAGGACCCGTTCGTTAACCTGGACTTGAGTTTGAGCCTGGATTTGAAGGGGGCTCTAAAGAAAAATCTTCATCACCAGAGGGTCTCAAAGTGCACCTATGGGTGTGGATTCGGTGGCGGGAGAACTTGCAGCCAAAGGATTCAAGATATATAGGCAAATAAAATAAAAAAGTTACCAATTCTGGGGGGGCAGGAGAAGAAGGCACGGAATTCACTTTCTCCACCCCTCACCCTCACCCTGAGAGAGACGGAACATGACACCCCTTTTTTGAAAAGCTCATTATCTCCGGTTACCATCTCCCTAGAGCTTAAGCGCCTAACCAGGGCCACGCAGCGGTGGTAGTGGCGACGCCGGCATCTCCCTCCCCCACCTCAGCACCCACACCAGAGGGCCCGCCAAGGAAGCCCTGGCCCCACCCACCCACCCACCCCATCTCCACTGAGGACTCTCAGGCCAAGGCCTGCAGCACCCCGCGCGCGTGCTCCACGCCATTAGCCACCAAGGCCTCCGGCGCCCGGCCACTGACTGCTTCCTCTTACTCCTGCCACAAAGCCCTCCGAGGCCAAGGCCGAAGGGTCGGGTCCGCCGCACGCCACCAAGGCCGGGGCGCTGGGACCCCCCCGGGCCCGGCCAGCACCCGGAGGAGCCCTCGGGCCTCATCCCAGCGCTCGGGGCACGGGGCCCACGCACCCGGAGCTTCCCTGGTGCACCAGGGGCTGTCCCCGCTCGGGCGCGCCGCCGAGCCCTGCGCACTGCCGCGCCGGCCCCGGCCCCGGCCCGGCCGACCCCCTCGTGCTACCCGCGGCCCCAGCCCCAGCCCCTGCGCTCGCACCGTCTCCTCGGGGTCGATGTCGATCTTGAAGGTCTGCTGCTGGAGGGTCTTCAGGGTGACCTGCATGGTGCCGCCGCGCAGCTCCGCCGCCGCGCCTGCTCCTCCAGGTGCTGGCCGCTGGGCGGGTCTTTGGCCTGGCGTGGCCCCGGGGTCGCCCGCGCTCCTCCTCGTGCGCTCGGAAGGAAGACGGTGGGGGTGGGGATTTGTCACATTCGCCCAGCGGGGCCGGCCTCTCCCCGCCGCCGTGGCCTCGGGCCGCGCGGCTGCCTGCGACTGCGGCCTCTCCCGCGAGATCGGGCCCGCCTCGCTTCCTCAAAAGCACCGGCCCCCTGAGTGGTGCAGGAAGCTCGAGAAGCTCTTCCGAGACGAGCAAGAGAGTCCGCTAGCTCACCACGGGCTGGTGGCCGCCATCATCGTGACTCGCCGAGAGGTGCCCCTTCCCCCACCCGAAAAACCTGTGTGTGGGGGGGTGGGGATGGGGCCGGGCGGCGCAGCGCGCAGGCGCAGGTTGCGGCGAGGCTGTGCGCCGGCGCGGCCAGGAACTCCGCCCCGGAATTGGGGCGGGGCGAGCGCGGCTGCGGCACGCCCGCGGCGTGCGCAGGCGCAGCAGTGCCCGGGTCTCGTGGGTTTCAGGGATGCCTCGTCGCGTCCGCCACCTGGGCGGTTCTGCCGCTCGCCGCCGCTCCGCCCTCGTCCAGGCTCCGCCCCCGGCGGCCCGAGTTGCGCAACCCGTTGGCGTAACCGGGAGCGCGACGTGGAGACCCGACTCGGTGGATTCCCATGCTCTGCAGCTGGGGAACTAGAGGGCGGTAGGTCGGGGCCCGAGTTAAGTGAAAGGATCACGGTTACCATCGACATGAGCCCGGCGCTTACCAGATGCTTGCTGTGTAGCTGAGCCTGTTTGGGGGTGACTGGTGCTCTCATCTTGAGAGCACGGACTAGCGGCCGACCCCCTGCGTGTACCTTGAGCCTAAAGAAAAGGGCCCATAATAAGGTGACCAGACGTCCTGCTTTTGGTCCCGATTTTTAAAATCGGGACTTTTTGAAAACGCCGCGGGACGCGGGACAAATTGTTCAAAATCAGGACGTCTGGTCACCTTACCATAACAGTCAAGCTCTTTCACCCCTTTGGGCACAACTGTCCAGTGGTGTTCCTCATCTCACCCAGAGTGAAAAAGTTGTCAAAACTCGGCCCTTACTTAGCTCCTGCCTCTCGCCGTGTCCCTCTCCCCGCTAGCTCTGGGTGGTGGGGATGGTGGGTGGTAGGCATCCGGCTGCCTTTGCACCAACTGTTCCCGACCTGAGTCCCCTCTTCCCCAGACACCTGGGTGGCCCAGTCTCTCTCCTCCTTTGAATCTTTACTCATATGTCACCTTCTCAGGGAGATCTTAGATACCCGACTGAAAGCCGCAATTTCCCCTAGCTCCAGGAACCTGCTTTTATTTTATTTTCTATCTATAGCATTTATCATCTTACGTTTTTCACCTCTCTTCTCTAAACCCCAGACTGAAAGCGCACAAAGGCAAGGATCTTGTTTAGTTAACCGATACAGAAACATGCCTGGCACATAGACACACAAAGGTTTGTGGAATGGGTGAATGGGCTTCCGGTTCCTCGTCAATCAAATGAGGATGCTAATAGCATTCAACTCTATTGATTATTGGGGGCGGAGGGAGGGTGTTGGATAATGTATGTAAAAATCTTAGTAACAAGGAACATAATAAGCAGTCCATAGTAGTTAGCTAGGAATAGGATGCCCATTTACAGATAGGAAAACTGGGGTATAGAGATATTGAGTAATGTTTCTGGAGACACCCTCTTAGTAAATGGTTAATCCAGAATTTGAACCCAAACGGAATGGCCCCAGAGCCTTTGCTCTTAGCTGCCTGGTTATTCTGTGTCTTAATAGGGGACATGAAGGTACTCCCTGTGGCACATTTGACTTTAAGTGGTTCAAGTAAAAAGCTGACACGATTAGATTACACTAGCTATGAGACCCACAATGTATTTCTGTGGGACAGCAGCCCTCCCTGATACGCTGTCACTGCTTGGTGTTCCATGGACACTAGGAGTTCAGATAGGACTTTGTGGAATTTCCCCTCACCTCCCTCCCTCTTCACTAACTTAGTATTTCCCCTTCACAGCAAGTATTTACCCATTTTGTAATTCAATATCTAACCCTCTGTCTTCTGTTTTCCTGTATCTACTATTTGTTACCAGGTGGTCTCATCTTGTCCCTTGTTTTGAAACTTAGCAGAGCCCAATATTGATTTCCCTCCCTCAGAGCCTCTCTTCTCCCTGAAACTTTCTCCTCTCCCAGTTTCCTTCAGCATAGTTCCTGGCACCACCATCTTACCCAGTTGGTCATACCAAAACATCATCTCTTAGAGGTCTTCTTCCTCCATTTCAACCACCACATCTAATCCATCATCCAGTCCTATCAACTTTATTCTCCAAACCGTATTTCAAGATTCAACCATTTCTCACCATTTCTCCTTTTATCGCCTAGGCCAGTGGTCGGCAAACTCATTAGTCAGCAGAGCCAAATATCAACAGGACAACGATTGAAGTTTCTTTTGAGAGCCAAATTTTTAAAACTTCTTCTAACGCCACTTCTTCAAAATAGACTCAACCAGGCCATGGTATTTTGTGGAAGAACCACACTCAAGGGGCCAAAGAGCCGCAGGTGCCTCGAGAACTGCAGTTTGCCGACCACTAACCTAGGCTAATCCATCATCCTTCATCCACCTCCCACTGGTCTCTCCATTTCCATTCTTTCCCCCCAACAGCCTGCGAGTCAGTGATCTTTTTTCAACAATAAATCAAATCTTGTCACATATATTAATAACTAATTACACGTGAGGATAAGATTCAACCTCTTTACCTATCCTTGGACAACTTCCATGATCTGACTCTTGCCGTATTATCTCTGGCCTCATCTTTTTCTCATTCACTGTCATCCTTCTGCACCACATTTCTTTCACCCCTCAAACAAGCTAAGCTGGTTCTGGCCTCAGGTCTTTGCAGTTGAGATTATTTAATTTTGAAACTGTCTTCCTGTATCTTTAAATAGCTAACTCCTTTTTATCATTCAGGTTCCAAGTTAAATTTTACTTCCTTAGATAGGACTTCTCCAACAACTTTCATAACATACAATAAACATAACTAGGTGTACCGGTTAATAATTTGGATGTTGTGATCAAAGAAAACAGGATAATTTCAAGAGAAACAGTAAAAGTGCTTTACTCAAAGTAATAACCGTCACTAGCTACACATTTCCCCCATCTTTTAGGTAGTTGTGGATATCTTCCCAATAGAACTTTCTTGTTTTGAGGCAAACCATTCAGATACCCAATTTTCCACTTCTTCATACGTTTTGAAGTGCTGCTCAGAAAGTGCATGTGCCATCGATTGGAACAAGTAGTAATCTGAAGAAGTAAGGTCTGGTGAATATGGTGGGTGGGTTTAATACTTCCCAAGCAAGATCTTTTAATATGTCTTTAACTGGTTTTGAAGTATGTGATGTTTAATTATCATGAAGCAAAATTACTTTGCCGTGTCATCACTTTTAAAGCATTTAAATCAGTGTTCACAAGTATCTTGAAATGGAGAATGTTCATCATAAACTTCCCGAAGTAAACCATAACTTTCAGCAGCACTTTTCTTCAAAATAAAGTAATGAATTAAAACTTCCTGCAAATGCTTTTTTTTTTTTTTTTTTTTTTTTTTGGCATGGAATTCATTTTTTTTTTTTTAAGAATAGCAAGAATCTACTTTTTTAAAAAAAATATATTTTATTGACTTATTCACAGAGAGGAAGAGAGAGGGATAGAGAGTTAGAAACATCAATGAGAGAATCATCGATCAGCTGCCTCTTGCACACCCCCTACTGGAGATGTGCCCACAACCAGGTACATGCCCTTGCCTGGAATCGAACCCGGGACCTTTCAGTCCGCAGGCCGATGCTCTATCCACTGAGCCAAACCAGTCCCGGCTGAATTCAACATTTTTAAGCGTAAAAATATCTATGATGTTAACACTTCAGAAAATTTGACATATGAAGTTTTGAAGCTTGTTGTCAATACAACAAAATAGCACACAAATCAAATCGTATATATATCAACATGTGCAACTCCATCTATTGAAAAAAAAATCCGCATTATTAACCAGTACACCTAGTATATTGCCCTTTACTCTAGGCATGGCAAAATTCTAGGCACTTTACAGGGATAACCTCATTTGAGCCCCACAAAATTCCATGAGATAGGTGCAACACAACACTGATTTAAATTTTTTCATGACTCTACCTGAAGTTATTATTTTTAAACTTATTTATTATCTATCTCCCATGATTACCCCACTTTCCATGTTTCTTCTTGGGGAGAGGAACTCACTGCCTTATTCACAGCTCTTTCCCGAGCTTATAGATGGGATCCTGGAATACAGCAGGTGCTAGCTGCAAATGTCGGTTGCCTCTCAGCTATAAACTTATCACCCCATACCTATTTTTTTGTAAGATAGGCAAAAAATACATTTTTCTGGTGTGCTGCAGAATTGTAGTAATGAGTTTATGTGTGCCATGACATGACAAAGGTTGAAAAAATTGCCCTTTTAGTGGGATAATAAACACATAATCTAAAATTAAAGGTACCGTATTTTTCGGACCATAAGACGTTCCGGACCATAAGACGCACCAGTTTTTAGAGAAGGGAAATGAAGAAAAAAAGATTCTGAAACAAATAGTGTCCTAAAATATTTTATGTGCATTAAAACCCAACATCACAGTCATAAACACATGTAATCAACCCTGTAAAGTGAACAGCAGCATTTAGAACCATTTTAGAGCCGGTCAAGCACACAGAGACCACACAGAGCCGGGCAAGTAAAAAAACTTTTTTTTAAAAGTATATGTGTAGGCTATATTTGGACCATAAGACAGGGACTTTTTCCCCCCACTTCTGGGGGGAAAAAAGTGCGTCTTATGGTCCGAAAAATACGGTATTTACAATATATCAGTGATAATAAGTATTGTTCTTTTTAAAGCACATGACGAGGCCCAGCTGGTGTGGCTCAGTGTTTTAGCATTGACCTATGAACTAGGAGGTTATAGGTCGATTCCTGGTCAGAGCACATGCCCGGGTTTCGGGGTCAATCCCCAAGGAGGGGTGTGCAGGAGGTAGCTGATCAATGATTCTTTCTCATCAATGATGTTTTTATCTTTCTCCCTCTCCCTTCCTCTCTGAAATCAATTAAAAAATATTTTTAAAAGCACATGAAATGGGGGGAAAAGCACATTAAGAGGATCAATAGTGCTCAGAAAAAAAATAGAGTTGCTGCAGAGAATGTGCCAGATATCTTTCATTCTTCTTCCATCATTCTGTCTTTCCTCTTCTTCACCCAGCAATTGGCTCCAAGAAGGCTGACCTATATGGGTTA